TAATTTTGATACCGTTGGGTTTTGATTTAGGCCTCGGACCGAATTTACGGTGCTGAGACCCGACGGGGTTACCTTTACGGACCATCTCGACTTTCTTCTCCATCGTTCCTTTTTGATGTTCAGAGAAATTTTTCGACTCCGTCAAAATCAAACCGCAGAGATAGTCTGTTGACACTTTCTCCGTTTTTCTTTTTTGTAAAGAGACTGTTAGTAAGAAAATTGTGACAGTGGTTTGAACAAACATGACAAAAGATCTGTTATCTAAGATCCAAGAATTACGGAGAAGGTCTGAATGATTAATACGGGGACAATTTTTACAAAAACATTGGTGTCCATAGCAGCTTTACATGTGGAGTAAAACCATAAGCTAAGCTCCTCCGTAGTGTTAGACATAGGCTCATGGATAACACCGTTTTCATGATTAAACACGGCCGAGAACTGACCAGCAGTGGAAGTGTTAATGATACGAGATAGCCGGGCAGCAGCGTGCGGTTTGACAGTAGTAGAGGCAAGTGTAAAATCAAAGAAAACAGGCATATGATCAGAGAAAACAGCGTCACATATGTCCAAGTTAAGAACAGGCAAACCATATGATAAAAAAATATCAAGTGTGTGTGTCCGCGTTCTTGCGTGGGGCCAGACACATACTGAACAAGAAAAAAAGAGTCTACGAGGTTTAAAAATTCCTTTGCCATAGGTTTCTCAGGACAACACACATGGATATTAAAATCTCCAACAATAAGGACACGGTCATATTTCGGCAATCAGATCAATATCAATCTCATTTTTGACATTTAACACAGAACCAGGGCTGCTGGATTATGGGGAAATTCTGATTATTTCGAAGACACTTAATTTTTTACTTTAAACGCCCTTTGTGATAATGAGATTCTAATTATTTAAGAACGATTACCAAAAAAAAAGTCTAGTGCAAACTAGCTTGTGCTTTAGTATGCATAAATACAGTGGTTGTATAGAATTTAATGTTGATGATGACCCAGTTAAAAAGTCAGTGTAAGTATACTGAAAGCAGAAAAAGGCACAACTGTACTCTGAACCTGTTAATTTGCTAAGGTTGACTGATTTACAGAAAATTACTAAATGCAATTATTTCAATGATAATGCAAATGTAATATTATTTACAATATTAGAAAGTTTGCTCATTTTGCATCATTATTCTCTTTATCATTGAAAAATAAGTTGAAATGAGCACGTTTCGGTTTTCTTGAAGAGTTCTGTATCAAACAACTATGTTTTGTCAAGTCCGTATATGATTGGTCCACATCTCCACAATACTTCATAGTATATTCACACATTTCACAAATATAGCACTATTTGCGAATTGAGTATTCCACTAATCTTTAATGCAATTTCAATACAATAAAGATTCTGCATCGCATACTGTAGAGATGAAGCCCTAGCAAATACATTTAAATTGATATCAATGCTCCCATTTAACTTGCAAACAAGTATTCTCCAAGATTTGCAATGGTCCTTCAAGAGTCTTTCCACAGAGGGAGGAATACACCTTTCTTTATGTGTTAGCCCTTAAGCTACAACAATGTCAATGCCTTTATGTAAAAGGCTAGTCCCTGTTATTGAGCCCTGAGGCGGTACAGTCACTGTTCTTATCTCCACACAATCTTCAGTAGCTGGAGTTAATGAGTGACTCTCCCTGAGACAGAGGGGGGAGGAGTGGCCATGTTTGTCAACTGGGCTGAGGAGAGGAGGGTGGACATGTCTTAATTGTGCTGAGCAAACATGTGTGGTGCTGGAGAGCATAGGAGGTGGCAGGAAGTGTAAGCTCTGCTGCAGGTCTTAAAGGTACCCTATTATACGGTTTACCCTCAATATATTATAGTTCTCAGTTATATACAAAACACATGTCTCTGAAGTGTTTGGTTCGTAATACCAAACAGATCATTTCAGCATCCCATAATCCCCTCTGTTTCAGCCCTGTTTCCAAAGTGCTGATTCTCTGTCTGTTACTTCAGATGAAAATAAGGAGCTACTCCCCACGCCCCTCTGAGAGAGATTTGGTTAAAAAGAACAAAATTGTGCTCTCGGAGGAGATTCAGGTGATACACAAGCCAAAAAAAACGTTATGACATCATAAAGTGGCCAAAATCTGATCAGCTCATTTTCAGACAGGTCTTTATATAAATAGATCAGGACAAAAAGGGAAATAATCTTTTTATCTGAAACTTTCAGAATCTCTTTACACAGAGGGGACACATGTTGATGAGGAAAATACATGACAAAGTGGATTTTGCATAATAGGTGACCTTTAACCTCTCCATGGTCGGAGCACTCCTCACACCTCTCAGTCAGCCGCCCCGAGAAAGCATTCAAAATGCCCAGTGGCTGTCGTCTGTTCCCACCTGCTTCTGTGACCTGTGGAGCATGCACACACAGAAACCTGGCTTAGGGTTAGTTCTCACTTTCCCGTATAGATGTGGTGATTTCAAGGTGAAAAGGCATATGTGTTAAAGAGTCAGTACACCCAAAATACCAAGAACTGGACACATTTTAAAAAGATAAAGCCTTGGCGTGAGAGCCACGGATTCAAATATATATTTTTGGTAGTGTTAGATCTCATTCATAGTCATTTTGTGGCTCTTTCTGCATTTGTTTGAAGATAGGTTTCTGTTGTTTTACTCATATTCTGTCACTTTTTGGGAATTGTGCATCTCTTGGTAGTCATTTTGTTTCTCTTCATGATCTTTTTGAGTCTCTGTTTGGTTGTTCTGCATGTCATTGTAGTCATTTTCTCTCTTTTGTTAGTAGTTTGCATCACTTTTCTCTGTTTTTGCGTTTCTTTGTGGTCGTATTTCATCTCTTGTTGGTTGTTTGATGTCTTTTCTTGGTATTTTTCTTTCTCTTTTAGGATGTTTTGCATGTCTTTGTTATCCCTTTTAGCATCTCTTTGTGGTTGTATTCTTTTACATTTTGCATCTTGTTGGGAGTTTTTGTTCAATTTTGTAAAATGTGTTGTTAGTATGTCTGTTTTTTGTTAGCTTCTCCCCAGTTAAATACTGGATTCTTTTAATTCCTTCAATATTCTTAAATCATCGAGATTATACAATTAGATTTCCCCTAAAAAGTATGAATGTGACAAAGATGTAGTTTTCGAATCACAATCCAAAATCACAAAATGGATGCTTCCTGGGTTTGCATCATCACCAGTGAATTTCCGTGTGGTATGGCAGGGTGCCCTTTGTCGTCAGTTTACTTATAGAGAACAACGGCAGCACCTTGTCACATCTATAAATGACACTGTAGTTATCGGTGCTGAGGTGGCACATGCTGATATTGTCAGCTTAGTCCTCTTGTAGATTCCCATGATTTAAAGTAGGTGTGAACACAGTCCCACTGTCTGTAGCTGTGAAATGTGGCCCTTTGCAAATATTGATGTAACCTGATATTGCTCTATGGCTCTGAATAAGAAGTGAGTCCACAGTTAAAAAATGTAGTTCAGTGTTTTTGGCTGAAAACCTATTGTTTCCTGTTCTCCTTGTTGTAATTGAATGAAATGGAGCAGGTGCTTCCTTTTGTGTAGACCCCTCTTTAGGATATTGTGTGTGTTTGAGAGTCCAGACATCTCCTCAATTTCTAATATCTATTCATTCTAACAGAATTAGGTCATTTCGCTTCCCAATGTTTATTATAACAGAGAGCCTAGAGATATTTCCATCATTGCATATTCTCTTAATTCTGTTTTCCCAGAGTTTAAGGCAGTGTTTCTCCAAGTGGGGGGCGCAGAGACCAGGAGGAAAAATACTTGTGACAACAACAAAAAAGTATTGATTCGAAAATAATATGCTACAGTACAAGTACGTCTGGGTCTCAGAAAAAACACTTCTGGTGCTAGCGAGCTACGCTAACGGATATAAGGATCTTTTTCAACAACAAGGTGGAGGAGAGTCCTCTCCCGAGTCCTGTCAGACTGAGAGGCTCAGTGAACTAAAGGACTCTCTGTGTTTAGATAGTTCACTTTAGTCTAAGTTATCTCGGTGGGTCCCAAACGGTTTGGAGTCACGATTAATGTAAACAATTATTTCCGAGGCACACGTTTATATGATCGTTATAGTTAGAAAAAAACAAGAGAATAAATGAAAAACAGGTATGAAATACTATATGACAGTAAAACAAGAATAAAGTTTAAAAGGGTGATTTGTAAAATATCCATAAAGAAAAAGTACATCTGTTTACAGTTCTGTTTCATATGGGTGTTGAGAGATGTATCCATAGATCTCTTAATTTGGCTCTCAAAGTGCACCAGATTGATGCTTTTAACTTCAACATTTAAAAAAAAATCTTCCCGGGGGAGCTTGCCCCCGGACCCCCCTATGTGAGGTCCACAAACCACCTATAAAAATAGCACCCCTGCTTACACCTATATGACGTGAGCTGATTATCCAGCCTTCATTGTAACAGTCGCGGGTACGTTGTGTATTTGCGTGGAGAGTGTTGCAGTATAAAATTCAACCGTAGCGCCCGGTGCATTCATGGGAAACCCTAAATGTTTGAGCACCCTCTATGAAACGTCAAGCTACCCCACAGCACCCCCAAAAGAAATCTCTGGCGCCGCCACTGAGCCTGCAACCCCGTTTTGAAGAAGTCTGCAGTGCCTAACAGGCTCATTGCAGCCACTAATGCAGCCAGACTCGTCTGGTCTTCCACCTTCCTAAATTCTCCCACACCACGCCGCTCCTCCGCTCCCTTCACTGGCTTCCGGTAACTTCTAGAATCCACTTCAAGACACTGGTACTTGCGTACCATGCTGTGAATGGATCTGGCCCTTCCTACATCCAGGACATGGTTAAACCGTACACCCCAGCACGTGCACTCCGCTCTGCATCAGCCAAACAGCTCGCTGCACCCGCACTGCGAGGGGGACCCAAGTTCCCATCAGCAAAAACACGTGGGTTTGCTATCCTGGCTCCAAAACAGTGGAATGAGCTCCCCATTGAAATCAGGACAGCAGATAGCTTGCACATCTTCCGGCGCAGACTGAAAACTCATCTCTTTCGACTCCACTTCGATCGATAGAATTACTAACAAAGCACTCATATACTAATAAAGGACTGGCTTATCTAAAAGCCAGTTGAGTAGCACTTGAAATGTTTTAGCTCTATGAAACCTGATGTACTTATATGATTCTGTTTTCTTCAAGTTTATATCTTGTTGGTCGAACGCACTTATTGTAAGTCGCTTTGGATAAAAGCGTCAGCTAAATGCAATGTAATGTAATGCTGCGATAAGACACACCTTTTGCCAAATATCAGCATTTTCTTTCTTTTCATTTTTTGGCAAAGTATTATAACTTATTGTTCTAGCAAAGGGATTGCACAATTGTATTATGTATTATTTTTTTGGAGCACACAGACTTATGGAGCATTGTTTTATTATCAATGTTCTAGCAAAGGTATTTTTTAAGTTTTTTTTAAAGGAATGCTCATGTTCATATTGGTGTGTTTTAATAAATGTTTTACGTGACTATTTGTGTTGGGGGTGCCAAAGGGGGGGCCTGACAGAAAAAGTTTGTGAACAACTGGTTTAAGGTGATGCCTTCAAGTTCCTCCAAAAGTACATTTACAATATAGAGAAGTTTGATCCGTAAAGAATGTTTTAAGTTCTGCTTATTGGTTTTATTTACTAGCCGATACATTCCGGGTATATTGTATGCCAATACTGAATACACATTTTTCTATAATAAATACAATGATATAAATGAATAAGTTGATACAAATAGTGTGAGTGCTTCAAGGCTTGGTTGTAATGACTTAAATTATAAATCAATTATCAAAAATGGTATGGCAGCCTAAATGAGAACATCAACAAAATGTTTATGCCTTTGTCATTGTCAGGTTGTCCTTGACGTGATGTTCATTATTCTTTGCTCTGCTCTCTGCTGCAGGACACAGCCGAGGACATTCGCTCCATAGACAGCTGCGAGTACATCTGGGAGGCCGGGGTGGGCTTCGCTCAGTCCCCTCCTCTGAACTACATCCACGACATCAACAGGTGAGACTGCAGCTCAGCAGGGACTGTGGAGAACTTACTTTTAGTTGTCTTGTTCATGTCAATTAAAAAGAAATGTGGTAGAAAGGTTTGCAATCAAAACTGTCCATAACAATTGGGTAACTTGTTTTTGTTATTTGACATATCAACACAACCAAGTCTGATGGCATTTTACCTGAAGGTGGGACAACAGCGACATGATGAATTTAAATGGCCGTCACCCTGGATTCATTGTCCTCCAAATACATCGCTACCATCAGCCAATCTGAAAAATCATGCTAAAACTTGTTACAAGAAATAATAAGTCAAATAATACCAAATATATGTTTGTGGTAGTTTATAATAAACCTGGTTGGAGGGGTTGTCTACCAGAGAGCACTGACAGGTCTTTTTTTCAAATCGGTCGGGCTATAGTACAAAAGCTTTCTGGTAAATGTTTAAATAACATTGATTTATTTTTGTTTTCTTGTCTGTTCAGGACAGAGCTGCTGAAGCTGCTCCTCACCTGTCTCTCTGAGGCCATGTACCTCCCCCCCTCCTCTGAGAGTAAGAACCCAAACCCCTGGGTGACCTTCTTCTGCTCCTCAGAAAACAGGTGACACAAACACACACATCCTCAACATGTGCATAAAGTGAGGCACCCTAAAATCATCTTTAGTGCAGCTTCTTCTAGAGATACTATCGGAAAGATAACATTGTTTTTGCAAATGTACTACTGGTCTATGACAGTTGTTCATAGATTTACCTTTTTGGAACAATAATAACTGTAAATATATACTTTATACAGGAAATATTTTGTAAGATGTTGATACAAAAATCTGTCAAATAAATTGGCTGCAAACTTGGTTTTTCTTGGGCACATTGAATTGCCATTTTTAAATATATATCCATATATTTATGAATAGGAGTCATATCTACAAATAAGTATTTTGTATCTATGAACTCATAACAAATTAATACAAAAGAAACGCACATATATCCAGAGTTAAAAAAGTGAATGGAAGAGATTTAATACACTTTTTTCCAAATTGTTTAATAATCCTGTCTTTGACTATTGATAAAAGTGTTTTCTTTTTCTAAAGATAATGGAACGCTTTTAAACTTGACCAAGATATGTCCACACAGGAGACTTTTTAAGAGAAAAATAACAGTCAAAAACAGAGGAAGATAAAAATAGAACTATGAAATTCCCCAGTGGGAAAAGCGTCCTTGAACATGTCTCACCCTCTGCTATGCATTACCCCACACTATGAGACATGTAGCCCCTCTGAAGAGCCCCTTGCTCTGAACACACTGATAGCCCTCCATGCCCCTGACCTCCACCTGTCCTTCACTGCCCCCCCCCAGACATGCCCTGCCTCTGTTCACCTCCCTGCTCAACGTGGTGTGTGCCTACGACCCCGTGGGCTACGGCATCCCCTACAACCACCTGCTGTTCTCCGACCACCGGGAGCAGCTGGTGGAGCAGGCGGTGCAGATCCTGATCGTCACCCTGGAGCACGAGGCCGGGTCGGCCACAGGCTCCGCCCTCCAGGCCCTGGGCACCTCCGCAGCCCCCTCAGAGGTGGAGGAGCAGGAGGTGAGAGGGGGATCATTTTTATTATTAGAATAAAATGTAATCGTTTACTGATTCAGAGTTTAAAATCATGTATTTGTTCTTTTTTCAGCCAGCGGGACCCGATAACCTCTTTGTGAATTATCTCTCCCGGATACACAGAGAAGAGGTAAATTATGGATGTGCCAATCAGATTTCAGATATCAATAATGGCTTGATATGGCCAATACACTATCGTAGGAAAAATCCTAATCTGACATGACCCATTAGTCTATGTCCAGTATTTTAAACTCAAATGACTTACATTTCCTTTATTATAATTTTTTTACATTTACATGTCTTTTACCTGATGCTTTTATCCAATGCGGCTTAAATACTTTTTAACACCGTGGACATGCCTACAGTATAGGAGGAGAAATTTGGTGTTAAGTATCTTGCCCAAGGACAGTTAAAGGTGGGGTATGTAATTTATTTCAGAAACACTTTTTGTTATATTCCATGGAATGCTCTTAACATCCCGATAGCAATGAATATATGAAATGCTTTGACAATAAATCCATACAAAAAATTCATCTGTGGAAGCCGTAGTGCTGTAAAAAGCACGAACAATCATTTTAGGCGGCCCGGCTAAAATAACTGGATGGCCTACCTGCCTGTCAGCCTTCCATCTGTGCACAAGCTTATCTCGTGCCCTCATTGGTCATGTGCGCGTTCGTGTGTGTTGGAGGAGGGGCTTTGTAAGGAAGTGGCAGATTTTCTCCGGCTGTGTATTTTCAAATTCTCGCGCACTCGAGCTGGTTTCTCCAAAATTACCTACCCCACCTTTAAGTTTAATTTTGATTGTTTCCTTGCTGCTCAAACCTGCTGCTAAAAAGTTCAATGTGTGGAAAAGTTTTAAATAAAAGAAGCAGCAGTATTCCATAACTAACATATTGTGTGCTGTGGCAAGGCAAGTTAATTTATATAGCGCATTTCAACACAAGGTAATTCAAAGTACGTTACAAAAAACAATAAAAGGATTCAAATATAGTGCAACAAAAACACATCATATAGACTTTCAATCTTCCTGACCTTCCATGTCAGAGAACATTGGCTAGTCTTAACTCTTATCAGCTGTGGGTCGACAGATCAGCACGTCTATGTTATGTGACTATATTTTGGAGAATATAATCTGACCCGAGGAGAGAGATGTCGCCTACTTTTATGCTCCCTACAATAGAAATACAATGTTAGATCAGAGTATACAACATCTGAGCTTTGAATATATTTGAATAAATGTTATACCAATAGACAGGAATCTGATCAAATAATTCAAATGAAAGAGTAATATTACACCGTCCAAAACTATTTAACAGCCTACAATATCATCTAATTCTCTGTTCATCAGGATTTAAGTTTTATCCTGAAGGGTCTGGGGCGGCTGATGAACAACCCTCTGGTGCAGACCTACCTGCCCCGCTCCACCAAGAAGATCCAGTTCCATCAGGAGCTGCTCATCCTCTTCTGGAAGTTCTGTGACTTCAACAAGGTGTGGAGCACGGTTCATCTGAATAATGCTAAAGCTACAAGATGGAGCAACTTTAACAATGAACACAGAAAATATAGTGGTGTCATTGAAGGCTGCACGATTTGGAAAAAAATAAGTAGTTGCTATAATTCTGACTGATATTGCAATATGCAATATGCAGGATTTATTTTAAGTTTGTAGAACACTGTTTTTAGGCCACGACTTCTCTGCAGCACCACAGTACCTCATTCAGATATTTTCAGATATTTTGCCTTTACCAAATATTGCGATTACTGTGATTTGCGATTTTGCACTAATCCAAATTGGGATTTCAATTTTTGTTTTTTATTATGTCAACATAACTTTTGTCTCTTTTGCCTTGCTATACTAGCAGCATCGCTTAAAAACGCCACATAATATCAAAGGGATTTCCGAAAGTGGCGGATTTAGGATTGAAGGAGATCCGGGGCTTAGCCCAGGAGTTGTTGGGGGGTGCAGGGGTAGAGTACTATTTTTTTACAACTGGGGGATGGACCGAACATCCTTTTAGGGGGGTCGTCGCCTCCTTTAGGGTTTTTTTTTTTAAATATTGAAGTTAAAAGCATCAATCTGGTGCATTTTGAGAGCAACATTAAGCCTACCTTAATAATACCTTAAAGCGGACAAAAGGCACTGGAGAACACTTATTCATTAACATCCTTTAATGAAGCAAACTAATGCCTTAACTCACTCAAATACAGTCGTTTACTTATTTCGGTGAAACGAATGTGCGTAGAATTTTAAAGAATGCGGATAGTCTCACCTTGATTCTGGCGCATTGCTTATTGTTTATAGACCTATTCTCATCCACCATCTTTGTTTGTGACGTAAAGAGTGTTAGATTCACGCTTCTGAATCGGACACTCTGAGTGGATGCAGTCACAGCCAATCGGAGTCTGATTCAGAGGGTTGCCTGTCAGTTCCGTTCTCTGTCAGTTCCTTTGCTATGGTTCCGTTGTTAAGTGTACTGAAACGAGAGCCGGTATAATACCAAAACAATATAAAAATTGGAATACGTTATTTTAGTGTCTTAAAGGTAGACTGAGGTATGAAGGGTTAACGTTACATCTTAGGGTAATTTTTAGTAATGTTCTGTATACATACTAAACCTATAAGGGTATAATTAGTGTGGTTACTCCATGTTTACTAGCTATAACATTAACATTACATCACTCTTTTTTCCTTCTTCCCCAGTCAGCCAGACTACAGATATCACCATTAGATTCACAAACCTGAAACATCATCCATTTCTTCAC